GAAGGATAGAAAAAAAGCTTTATAGAAATTGTGGTTAGATGTTTCTTTTTTTAATTCAGCAGTGAGATGTGCAGTTCTAGCAAAATAAGGCATTCTATAAAACCTCCTCTAAATTCTTCTTATTTCTCCGATATGTTTTTCAGTGTTAGATCTGAACCCTCTAAAGTAATGCAGATCTATAAAAGCAGTGATCTGAGACTTACAGTAAAGGATCCACAGCTGGCTTGAAGCACAGAGAAGACACTGAATTTGGCATTTTCAGTGACATTGGTTTATGGGTTTACATACTAATGAAAAGCTAAACTTCAGTAACATGATGTCCAAAATCATCATACTCATTTTGAGTTGCCCTATTTGTGTGCCAACCACATATTTTGTTGTAAAAGCCCACAGTTGTTTGTGCCTTGTGGTTTCCCAAAAGCATTTTCCCAAGTGTTAATCTTCTGATTGCCAGTCTGTTTGGGCAGGCTGGTTTCTGCCAATTCTTTGTCAAGAATTACTGACACCCCCCATTTCCAAGTCTACTAGGATATTGATGTTCCATCCCAAAATAAGACAGCGATTAAATGGCAGGCAAAATTTGACATTCAATAGTTAGTTTGCAATCTGATACATATCACTTAATTAAGCTCTGATAGTTAACAGAAAAATATCTGTTGTGCTTGTGGCTGTCAGTAAAGACTAAGGTGTCACAGTAGGAAATGTTTTGTCTAACTGTAAATAAAAGTGAATGCATCTGATGATTTTTGTAGGCATCTGTTGAAGTCAGGGCCAGCCCTTCTGGGACTCAGAAAGCAGCCCCCGGGGTCACAGAGCTCACATGACCTAGTTTATTCTTCATTAAAACAGATGGTATCTATCTGAGCAAGGCAAACTTGGTTTTAAGAAAGAGCTGGGGATTAAAAGGATGGGAAGCTGAAACAGCTGGGTCTAATTAATGGGAGCAAATAAAGAGGCAATCTAAGCATTAAATTAGTAATCTACATCAATAGAAAAATACTCACTATGTGACTACTTGCTAAATTGTTTTAGCCGATCAGAAGTTGCAGGATTGGTTTACCTAGCATCAAAAGTATCTAAAATTGCATCAGAAATGTTCCCACGTTCTTTATTCTTTTCTGCCAGGCTTCAAAGAGAACAAAATGGAAACTGGCTATGGTGTTTTTGAATAGTATCAGGGAATCCAAAAATCTTGTTTTGTAAGACTGAAAATACTCATGTTTGATGCATAGGCCAAGTTGGTCTTCTGCAGATTTTGTCCTTATCTCTTTGTGTTTAACATGAGAAGGTTACCTAATGGAGAAGATGGCAGGCATTCCTTCAAGCTCTGCAGCCACATAAAATTTACAATGGGATCCAAGAATTTTGTTTCTGTTGTAAACAGATTATACTGGATTAGTGGTTAGCATTTTGCATATTTTATTCTGTTTGCCCATTTAGTCCTGAAAATCCTGAATTGTGTTGCAAACAGTACAGGCTGTTGTTACTGATGGCCAGAGACCTTCACTTACTATATGCCTTGGCAGGGAGAAGGGGCTTGTGCAAATAAACTACAACTCTGCCTTCAAACTTGGTGAGAACAGCTGTTTTTTTGAGGTGTGGTCATGTAGGTGCTTTGTTTTGCTCTGAAACTCTGGTAATATGTACTAAATTAAACAGAGAGAAAGGAATACGTATGTAGGGAGTGTATGAAGCCACTTCTCTTCCTTCAACAGGATAGTACTTGGTAGATCTTAGGGCTAATCCAGAATGGTACGATGTCCCTTGAGTTCTCTTGGTTTGAGCCAAATACAAAATAAATATAAGTAGACTAAAGTGCAGATCTGTGAACATGGTTTCCCTTAATTCTTATAGACAAGTATAGAATATTTCCATTTTAAGGTAATCGTAAGGAATGTTTACTTATCTGTCACAAAAGGTCAATCTCACTTGAAGTTGAACACAGCTGAACTTGGGTGATCAGGAGGAAATGTTGAACAGTTCTTTCATAGGGATTAACAGAAATTGTTTCATGAGTTAGGTGTCTCCTCACCTGCAGTAGTGCTTTGATGGAAGACTAATAACACTGCCTTTTTTGCTGACAAAAATCTTCCCTCAGATATGTGGAGCTGGGCCTTTGTCTTCCTCAGTGCCACTTACTGCTTCAGGTTTTTAGTTTTCTTTTTATGAATCTGAGGGGCAGAATTTCCATCTAGTCAAACACACCAACCTATTCTTTTAAAACAGATTTACTTGACTGTGCTAAACAACCACAATAACATCTTGTTGCAGCCTCCTACCTTGACTATCATCGCATTTCTCTCTCTTCCCTATCAATTGCAAGGAAGAACACTTAAAGAATGTTAGCAGAAATGGCTAAAAGTATGAGCAGGTTTGAAGTGATATTTTTAATTGCAGTAGCTTATTTATGCAAATTTTATCTGATTATTTGAAGACTGGCTAAGTGTAAAATAAAACAAGAAAAAGACATAGCAGTTAGTCCCATGAAAGAGTGGTGGGTGTGTGGGTACTGCCAGCTTATATAGGCCTAATGGATTTTCTGAGAAGACTTGATGGGGAGAAAAATGCATATTTTGAGAGATGTCTGAAAACAAATGTTAGATGGCTTCTCAGTCTGTATTGTCTTGATTTCCATAGTTGCTTGCAAGTGTGCTAAAGATGTTTGAAAATAGACTGCCTGGGATCAGTTCAGCAATAAAACTGGTTAGGGAGGTTCTCTGTTCTTGCCTGTCTGTGTGGTCGTCTGGTTTTCCCAGAGGCTTTGTAGATTAGGGCCTTGCCACTATTCTGGAATAGCCTGCCAGGCTTTGCTGTTCCTGGCAAAGATGTTTTTATGGAGGAAGTGTTTCCAAAGCTAGAGCTATTGCTAAATAAGTCCCTGACAGGTTCTTCTTTGAAATTAGGTGGAACTTGTGATTTCTGTTATTATTGTTGTTAATTCTGACCAGTGGTTTGTAAAGATATAAACTAATAGCATAAGGAAAATAAAGCATTCTGGAATAAAAATTTCTTAAACAAGTAGAACAAGTCTTGACGCATGCAATCACTAGAGATCTAGGAACAATTAGATATGTGTTCACTTTTGACTTTCCTGTTGGATATGTCTGTGGAAGCACTTAATTTGTACAAGTATCAAAATGTATGTAAAACCACATTTGCTTATGGGGTTAGTTTTGTTAATTTCCCTGAATCCACATTTGGAAGTCTGAAAAATGAGAGATGTTTTTAATTTTATTCCCATTCTTTAATTTTACTATCATTATTCTTCAAAATGTTTTTACTCAGAATTTAAATTTCAGCTCCTAATTCAGAAATAACTGAGTTAATTTTTTTGTCTGTGCATGCAGTGTAAGTAATCAGTATTTAAAGTAGCTTGAACAGCTGTCTCTGCTTGGAAACTTTTGGGCCTTTTTTTGGGTGTTTGTTTGTTGGGTTTTATATGTTATTTGTTTGGGGTTTTTTTACTGCAGAAGCCTATCCCTGTGCAAATAAAGTTGTTGGCAGGTATAGTCATGTAATGTGACTGCACTGTTAAAGGATTTAATTACATGATAAATTTTCCAGGATAACTTGATGGTTTACTTTGCTATAACAGCATTCTCTTTCTGAGAGCTGTATATAGTTTTCATGGTTAAAGAACTGTAACTCAGGACAGGTGGGAATGTAAAAGTGCTTTGATAGAATCTTTTGTGCTTACACAATGGTAGTCCTTGATATGTTTGTGTAGTGAGAACTTTTATCTTGGAAAATTTGCTTTGAAATCTATATTGGTAGTGGAGCTGCAAATTCCATAAAACAGGATTGCTGAAGTTAGTAGCTTTTAGTGGTTTTTGGTAAATGCTAGTTCTTAAACACTATTTTAAGTAATTGGGAAAAAAACCTGTTAAATCACATAAAAATTTTTAGCTAAGAATACACATACAGAAAATAAGTACTTCAAACATAAATTGAAGCTACCAGAGGCAAAAATTTACTTGGTTTTTCTCATCTCACCAGTAACGCAATTTTAGAAGTTCATTTGTTGGTTTCTTGCTCCTATCTATCTCTCAAAAACGTATTTCCTTTCACATATGTACTCCTTTCTCTGTACCTGTTGCATATCTTAGGTAATTGTCCTTACTATAAATTGGTCATAATTGATCAACACAATCTGAAATCAAGTAACAGACCAGTTAATACTGTAACAGGTCTGTGTGCTGCCTTTCCTGGGGTATATGCAAATAGAAGAATGATATGGAGCTGAAGTATAAGCTTTTGACTTTTCTGGAAAGAGTGAGCTTTCACAAGTTAGGTGCTTGGTTTGAATGTCAAGTGGCCTTTATAGTGGTACATATTTCTGTCTGAGAATGGGATTAAAAATATCAGGTGCACTGTTGTAATGGAATATACTTGGCATTGTTTAATGAGCAGAAAAACAGTTAAGCAGTCACCCAATGAGCTGAAATATGTGTTGATCTCCAAATGTGTTAGACTGTGCTGCACAACAAATAGCAATCTGGCTAAATGTGCCAGTTTTAACTTTGATTTCAATCTAAAAGAGATATTTAGTTTAGCTATATATGATTACCTTGAGTGCAATGCACTTAAAATGAACTTTAAGGACTATTGAAAAGAGAAGTGCCTAATACATTATTTAAAAGTGCATACATTTTTATTTTGCTTCTTTATTTTTTAGAGTGAATTGGAAAAGGAGTACATTAACTATAAAAAAAGGTGTGCCAGACAGCTACTGTTTCCAAGTGATGTAGCACTGAGGACTATAAGCAGATTTTTTAAAATTTATTAATTTTTAGAAGGATCAGCAAATTTTATATTTTTTTTCCCCCATCACTTCCTTATTCTACTGAATCACTCTGTCTCTCTGTGCATTTAAGTTTATAATCTCACCTGAACGACTGGAGTTCCTGTAGATTGTAATTTAACAAATTATCTTTGTTCTTTTTCCCTTTTTATGCTAATGCATAAAATAATAATGCTATGTTTCTGCTCCAACTTTTCAGGCACAGGTACCTTTGGACGTGTTCATCTGGTGAAGGAAAAAATGTCCAAGCATTACTTTGCACTGAAAGTAATGAGCATTCCTGATGTCATTCGGCTGAAGCAAGAGCAGCATGTGCACAATGAAAAATCTGTCTTGAAAGAAGTCAACCACCCTTTTTTGATCAGACTGTAAGTTGTATTTTTTAAATTAATTTCACTCATACATAAAGTACTGTTAAAATACTCCAGTCTCATTGCAAGTTCTTATGTAATTAACCAATGCTGAGCATTTAATTTCTCATCTGTAATCTAGATTAAAATAGATTTTAGGATGAAGAAGAATCAAGAATTTAAAATAAAGAGGCATTATTTAAATATTCAAGCAATAATTTATTGTAAGGTTTTTTCTATCTCATATTCACACTGTAGAAGAGACATTTTCTGAAGTGAGAGGAAAATGCTAATGAAGAATTGTTAGGATTGGCTTATCAAAATGACTTCTAGAATGATTCTTGATGTTAGAATGGTGATGAAAGTATTTCTACATGTATGTGCTATAGATATTGGTAAATAGCAAAAGACATTTCTAGACTTAAATAGCTAGTTTTTGAAAACTTAAGTGAAGTTTTTAAACTTTTATTTTTAAAGAGTTCAAATAACTGCAGCACTTCTTGGACTTCATATTCCTGTACTTGAGGTTGTTAAATGATGGAACCTATTGAGAAGCATTATTTAAACACAGTTCGTAAAGAATGCTTCTATTTTAGTGGAAGAGACGATATCATACTTTTCTGTTCACAGTACTACAGCACTTCTTGTGTATCTGAGTCTGTATCTATTAATGCAATAACTAAACCTCTGGTAATTGCTGGTTAATTTCCATTTATGTTTTCTCATTAATGAATATATGGCCAGCTGTTAACTAAGATTTGTTTCCATTTACCTGCCTTAAACAGTTTTACATAAAATTAGACAAAATTAGCATTAGTTAATCTAGCTGCAGGGAGTGCAGCTTCCTGCCAGGATTAAGCAAGTATCAGAGGGAAAAGAAGGGAACAGTGTGGCAGTCATTCAGAAGATGCAATGAGCCCTGCAGGAGGAGGCTTTTTCCCTGCTTTGGTGTTGGCTTTTTCCAGCATCATGATGCTATTAGCTTCCAGCTAGTGTTTAGAAATCTTGTGTGTGGCATGGTATCAGTAAGACAAGTTCTAGAATATGTAGAGATTGAGATTCACAGAAGAAAGCAAGATGGAGAGGCTGAGTAAATCTGATTAGACTGGTTGAAGTGATGGAATGGGGGGAATAGGATTTTGTATATGTATCTATGCTCTTTAGCTCTGGAAGCTCTTTAAAAGAAAACCCTACCAAAAACAACAAGCAAATTCCCAAACTAACCCCATCTCAGTAGGTTTGTGTGTCAGGAACTGTGGGCATTGAGAAATTTGGGTGAGATGTCAGAGACAGGGAGGATGCATGTTCATAAAGAAGTGTTAAAAAATTGAAGCAGGGGAGTTTTCCTGGATTTCATTCATACCTTATTTTTCAGGTTGCCAAAGGATACAATTCAAATAGTTCTCTTTGTATACAAAGCAAATATTCTTCATGTCCTCTAGAGGTCTGCTTTTTCTGTTGAAATGTCCAATAAAATGTTGCATCAGCTATGCTCATGTAATTGTCCATGTGATGCTGTTTTCCCTTGTCAGAGAAGACTCCAAGCAACATAGCTGAAATGATGTAGTTAAAATTTAGGTCAAAACAATATTTATGTGGTTTAGGTTAAACACGCCTTTCTGGATGATTATCGCTAGATTGTATGACAAATAACACTTTCTGCAGCTTTTTTGACTAAAAGGTTTTTTCAGCCACCTCCTGCCCAATACATATATGTTTGGGTTTTTTCTGTTAATTGTTTTACTGTAAGTGTTTAACAAAGACAGGGAAAAATTATATAGTTCAGCTTTAATTTCCTTAATGTGTGTTATCTACATGGTCTGTTTTTTGCTTTTTAAGTTAGCTTCACCATCTTTAACACTGATAGTGTTCTCCTTTGGTTGCAAAGGGGATAGGTGTCAGTGCAGCATAATATTTCAGGAATTTATGATGGAAAAGTGTAAAGTAATGCTGTACATAATTTCTGGTGTTCAGAAATTCCATATGTCTTCCTATATGATATATGGATTTTTTCCCTTTTTCTGTTACTTTTGAGAAATACCTATTCAAAATATAGAGAGGTGCAGTTTTCTGTAGACACTGTAGTTACTAACTACTTACTTTTTAAATAATTTTTTTCTAAATGCTTTTTAGGTGCTTTTGCAGCAGCTGATCACTGGCGATTCTTAGGCAATCTTTACTGAAAATTGAATAATGTGTCATACTCACTGGTGCAGCTCTTCATAGAGATATGTAATGTTGATATGTTTTTGAAGAGGGGAAGAATTAATAAAAATCAACTATGTCTTGTAGTTGTATAAGCTGAAACAGGTTGTTTGTAGGAGTTCACAGTGGCATCTGAAGTTTATGTAGTAAGCTGAATTGTAGAGTTAATGGCACCACACGACCACACGTTATTCTAATCACAGCTTCTGTGAATTTTTTTTCTTTTCTTTTTGTATTACATTACCATTTAAAGCAGTCTGAATTGCAAGTACAGAAATTCTTCATTTTGGTCTTTTTCATGTATACTAAATAATGTATCCATTTTTCTGTGGCTAGACAAACCTTTAAGTCAATTTTTTCTGCTCAGTTTCCTGAGGCTCTATGCCCTGATTAACTATGAGGTACTTGTGATACTGCAGAAGAACTGACTAGAAGCTGAAGTAGCTTCTGTTCTTGTATCACTGGATCAATAAAGTAGCTAAGGATAGGGTGTTCTTCATCTTTTATTATGGAATTAGGGATAATTCTTTGTTTTAAATGGCAGTGTTCTTCAAGATGTTACTGCCTGTTTTCTTAACTGTTGAGCTACATTTAGGGGTGTGGTGAGTTGTTTAATGTAGATAGAATATACTGAAATACAGTATAATTTCAGAGAATGTGGAAGAGAAGATTCCTGTGTTCTGTAAAGAAGCATTTAAAAGCCACATATAATTTTTTTTCTTTCTTTACCTGTTCTTTTCTGACTACCACAGAAATAGCTCTTAAAGTTGGTAGTCTGAGAAATGGAAGGTATGTATCCTTGGGTTAATTCTGAGGTACCAAAATGAATCTTGTTTTGCTGTTATTTTTGCTTTTCTGTTGCTTTTGTGAAAGATGCCATGGAAGATCAGGCGTTGTCATCTGTTGCTGTAGTTGGGATTGTGTATCTCCAGGGAAGAAGGCATAGGAGACAAGGACACCACTTTGATATCTGGTTTTGAAAATATTGTCATGAAAGTCTTTACAAAAGCAGATTCTGCCTGCTCCCATCACTTTGGTAATGCTTGATAATATAAAATGTAAGGTTTGTAAAGAATGTCTGGTCTTTATATCAGGTCAGTTATTTCATGCTCAGAAGAGACCTGTTTTACATGATGAGACAGACTCTATCAATTAGTTTTTTTAATAAGCACAGCATGTGCTGTATGTATCCTCAAATGTCTGGTTTTGTATTGTAGGTTAAGGTTACTTGAATGTGCTACATAATCATGCTGGATTAGTTATGTACATGGTTGGGGTGGCAGAGGCCATTTTATGGACATTTACTTATAAAGCAAATCAAAGACATAATTTCTTTATCCAGTAAAACAATACTTTTGTTACAGATTTTGGACCAACCACGATGAACGTTTTTTATATATGTTAATGGAATATGTGCCAGGAGGGGAACTTTTTAGTTACCTGCGCAACATGGGGCGTTTCAACAACAGCACAGGACTGTTTTACTCCACGGAAATTATTTGTGCAATAGAATATCTGCACTCCAAAGAAATAGTTTACAGAGACTTAAAACCTGAAAATATATTACTAGACAAAGAAGGACATATCAAGCTTACTGACTTCGGATTTGCAAAAAAACTGGTGGACAGGTAAGTCAGGTTTTTTTCTGGTAGTTACATTTTGCATGCTAAACAGTTAGAAATAAATGTTTGATTTCAGATGCTCAGCATTTGGCTTAACAGTCCATGTGGTTCATACATGTCAAATCCCTTAATATGAAGGAAATTATCATCTTAAAATGACTGTATGGAAAGCAGTATTACCCCTTAAGTATAACCAGGAGGAATATCTCATAAGCAATGACAGAAAAATATTTTTACGTAGCTGGTTTTGTATATTTAAGTTTTCAGCAGTCATGTTGTAAAAAGGGAGTTCAGGGAAATAATATGAACAAATACTAAGGTAAATAAATTAATCCTCCATACATACTGAATGTTTTTTAACTCATGTTTCCTTTAAGAGATTTTTGAAGTGTGATTTGAAAACTGGATGCAGTATTTTCATGAGTTTGTGGTGAAAATGAAACTGCAAAAATGTAGGCAGAAACCATACGGCAGCTTCAGCAGAACTCATTTATTTAAATCTAGCTTCTATATTACTGTCAGCTTTAATTATTTATGTAAATTTTGATAATGCAGAGGCTCCCCCCACAAGTGATTTCTCTGTTCTCTCTGTTTGGACTACTCTTCCAAGACCATAATACATGTTTTTAAGAGTAAGCAAGAGCATTGGGATTCACAAAAAGTGAGGTAAAAACCAGCCTGTTACATCAGAAGAGTGATGTGACAGGGCTTGATGTTACGCCTTTGAGTCGTCTCTCAAGGGAAGACTGTATTTGATTGTTCTGATAGAGGCAGCACAGTGCTGAGTTAGGTGTTACATAGGTGCTCATCATCTTCAGTCATCAACCTTTTTGATGCTGCTTTAGCAACAATCAGGTCCGTGTATAAGGAGAGTTCTACAAGGTCAGTTTGAAAGGAGTGTGTGGGTGAGGGTCTGTAGTGATGCAGAGTCCCCAGGCAGGTGCAAAGGAGAACTGCTGAATTGCAAAAACCAGGCCTTTTTAAGCAGTTAACCCATTATCAGCTGCAAACTTTTAAACATAATCCAACCATCATACACCAGGATGTGAACACGCCATGGTTACATAGCTTGTTTTTCTACCCCTAATTCAGCTGAGTCTTTCCCTCAGTCCTTTTCTACTTAACCAAAGTAACAGGCCTGAGCCATGATTTTATAAGGCCTTCCCTTTGTAAGGTTTTACTTATTGGTAACAAGAGTGGATCTTAAGAGGATGCTTAATGGATCATTTATTACGTAAAAGTCAGATGAGAGAAATGAAATCACAAAACAGAATCAAAATTCACCTTTAAGGTCTGAAAATCTGTTTTAAAATCATAGAACTTTATAATGAGTATGTTAATTCAGTTTCCACTGGGCAAGCAAAAAGACCTACAAATGCTGGCCTTTCATTTTAATACTTTGTTTTTAAAGCAAAAATTCTTTTTTCAGGAAGAGCTAACATACTTCCATGTAAGAAAGTAGTACAATATCTTTATAAGACATTTTTATACAAGAACTTATGACTTGCTCTTCATATGTAAATACTGCCACTTAGTGGTAGTTCTTGTTTTATGTTTCTGTGGGTTTAAGGCACAAGAGAAGTAACCTTAAATAAGATGATAGTTCACATCAGAATATATTTTTCAACCTGCTAGATTAATCTCTAAGAGTAGAATTGTTTAAATATGTTTTAGGATATCAAACTTAGTTGTCACTGCTGTTTTTAATGGGGTTTGTATTTTCATTTTGCTTGGGGGCCAGTGGAGTTGATCAGTTTGTGTTAAATCATAGAATACTATAGTAGTTTTATATTCATAGCTGATTTTCCTTCAAATGTACAACAGGGAACATAAATGTAGAACATAAAATTGAAATGAGCAAAAACACTATCAGAACACAAGTGGCAAAGATTGCACAGGTTGCACCTTTGCAAATCTGGTTTAGCTTTTTGTGTTGCTGGTTTTTTTTCAAACTACACAGTATTCTCCCCACTAGCTGAAGTCATCTTCACAATGTTAGTTTTGTCACTGTAAAAATACAGTTATCAGCCCTTTATCCACTGGTGCACTCCAGTAGGTGCTTTTGTTTATGGCATAGCCTATTTGATCAAAATTAGAGGAGATATTTTGTCATTTTGCATGGCAAATATCTGTACACCTGAATCTTAAGTGTATGGGTGTCAGTGAGTCTATAGGTGTGAATATATATACATCATACATGAATGGCAAAAAGAAGACATGAAGTATTTTGGCTCTTCAAACATTGTGAGGCAACCTTCTCTCAGGATCAGCAGAGACATTCCTAGAAAGAAGACATAATATGTAGATGAAAACATGGTCTGCAAAAGACTATGGATACAATTCCACATTCCAGATACATAATACTTTACATGAATGATTCTATAGCTGCCTAATTAAGATTTTTCTATAGACATTTTCCTTTCTTTCCACTGCCATGTGTGAAAGGATGAAATATTCACCTTGTCCCTCTTCAGTTAAGCTGCTCTTCAGAAAGAGTGTCTGGCTTGTAGCTCATGTTCCCACTGTGGGACGCAACCTGCACCTGTACCTTCTTGTTAGTACAGTTTCTGAAGGGCTAGACTCTTAATATTTTCTTTTTAGATACAGAGGAAAGAGGTTTTCTTTGCTCCTTCTGTTCCTTGTTGGTATGTCCTTCTGTTTATCCTTGTTCCTCCCTTTTCACTCATAGTGTTTTAAAAATTTTCACTCATAGAGGGTTTAAAAATTGTAAATTTTTCTCCAAAACAGTGTGTCTTTGCCTCAGCTGCTGTTTATTTCTTCTCTTTTCCACCTTGATGTTGCTTAACTGAAGACTTAATAACCTTTTCATTTTCTTGTAAGTACATTCATATAAAATAGATGTGCCAGTACTTCTAAAAAAGGGCAATGTCAAGAAGAAAGTTGGGGAGGGGGTTTTTATAAATTACTGTTACCTGAAGGCTGTAAAAAGTATTTCCTTTGAACTTTACAGCTATTACATTTGTAGACCTTTCTCTTTCTGAAACACATATACCACTTTTTGGGTATAGTATTTTTATTGAATTTTTTTTTTTTTCTGTTCTGATTTCCTTTTTTTTTTGTGTGATTTTTGGTTGGGTAATTTTGTCTGGGTATTGGGGTTTTTTGGGATTTTTGGGGGTGGTTGGCATTTAATTCCCATGCTCTTTCAGAGAAGCACAAAACTAATCTGCATGGAATTGTATGGGGTTTTTTATGGACAGATTTCACTCAGCAAGTTTTAAACGTTTTAGGTGAAATTAAGACCTGAGTGGTCTTTTTTTTTTTCTCCAGAATGTTACACACCATTAATTTTAGTTTACTCAGTTTACATTCCTAAAAAAGAAATTTACCTGTGAATTTCTAGAAACTTGAGAAGTGATTTATCTTAAACATGTTGGGGATAATTCTGCAGTGTTGCATAAGCTGGATGTGCCTCATGACTTTTCTGCACAGTGGATTGACAAGAGAAAGACTATGTAAGACACAGTAAGTCTAGTTTGCAAAGTGTACCCTTTGTCACTGTAGAAGCAAGAGAGAATGTCTTGCAGAACAAACTTTTGTCAGCTGGATACAAAGCAATCTTTGTTAAATATAGTTATGGAGAAACTGATAGAGTACCAAAACAAATGTTGTTAGTCTGGCTTATATGCAAAAAGCTTGTCAGGTACACAAAGATGGATGCTGAATGGTGTAGAATGCTGAAACACATTAACCATTGAGGCTGCACTTCTTCACACAGTACTCTTCAAAACTTTCCCAAAATTATTTTGTGGCTCACCTTTGTAACCAGAGTAGATTCTATATTTCATGTTTTAAAATTACATATTCAACCTTATCAATTAGCTCTTTCTTGTATTTCAGATTTTGTCTTAAATTCAGAAGAGTGACTGTTTTGTAGCAGTTTGATGGGAACTGTCTATTCTTATCTTTTTGCACTGTAATTTCTCTTCAAAAAAGTTACCTGGAATTTCAGATAAATATGCAGTAGCCATAAAAGAGTAATGATAAAAAATAATTTAAGATATTATATTTTTGTAATATTTATTTGATGTGTTTTCCAAAATACTAAATAGTCTGTTTCATGACCAACAAAAGAAGAAACATTAGTTTCCTCTTATGGAATCTTCCACAAACCTTATGGCACAAATGCATATCTTAGAAAAGAACATTAGCTTCTTCCAGATTTTCGTGTAGTTAGTAAACATACATTTCATGATTAAAATTAAGGAAGTAGTTAATGTGGTGGTAATAAATTTTATTTCCTAGTGCAGCTAGGAGACTTCAACTTACATTGGCCTTAATTCAGTTTTCCTCTTGCTTAAATAAAAACACAGTAAAACTGTCAGCTGCTTCATTTGCATAGCTGCCTAAATCAGTATTATTAAGTCACACAATGGATATAGCTTTTTAAGTTTGGGAGAGGGAGAAATAGTTTGTTTTAAAAGATTACATAGCTTTGCTGTTATTACTAATTCCATAGTCCTGATCTAGGTAGCCTGCTAGGTGGCAGTAGTGTTAAGCAGCACTGTATGTAAAAGTTCAGTATGCTTGATTTGGAAAACTAGAGTTTATATTTTTTAGATAAATTAATGATAAAAATTAAAGATGTATTCTTTACACTTAGGAATGTAGTTTCAAGAGCCTTGAAGTACATTGGATGTGAAGTGTTCCTAACACTTCCGACAGTTTAGCTCGAGTAATTTGGCTTTTGCCATAGTAAACTGAAGCTTAAAGAAATTAAAGTTGTAATTCTTCATTTAAAGCCTTAAATGACTGTACAGCTCCCTCCTTTATCTTTACTGTTTTTATTAATCAAGGCCAAGGTTTAATTTTTTTTCAGTTTTTTTTTTTTTTTTTTATCCCAGAAGCTCCATTTAAAATAATTCAAAAAGTTATAGAATATGCTCAGTTGGAAGGGACCCATCAGAATCATCAAATCCAACTCTTGGCCTGGCCCAGGACATCCCCAGGAGTCAAATCATGTGGCTGAGAGCATTTTCCAAGCACTTCTTGAATTTTCTTGGGCTTGATGCTGTGAACACTTCCCTGGAGAGCCTGTTCCAGTGCTCAACCACCCTCTGGGTGAAGTACCTTTTCCTGATATCCAACCTACATATCCCCTGACTCAGCTTCATGACATTTGAGTCCTCTCACTGATCACAGGAGTGAAGAGATCAGTGCCTACCCCTCTGCTTCCCCTTGTAAGGATGCTGAAGACCACAATGAGGTCTCCCCTCAGTCTCCTCCAGTCTGAACAGACCAAGTGCCCTCAGCCCCTCCTCATAAGGCTTTTCCTCCAAACCCTTCAGCATCTTCATTGTCCTCTTTGGGACAATGTAGCTTAATGTCTTTTTTACATTGTGGTGCCCAAAACTGCACACAGGGCTCAGGGTGAGGCCACGTCAGCACAGAGTATGGTGGAACAATCATCTTCCCTGCATTCTCAGAAAAAAAAAAGTTGAATTAGTATTACTTCTAAAGGTGATTGCAATGTTCATCTTAATGTATTTGTTCAGGAGTGTGTTACCAGTTTGATTGGAGCAAATTCTTCCTCTCACAAACACTCCGTTTTTTTTGGTGCGAGTTAGAAATTGTGTGGTGACCATTTGTGATTATAGAACTCCTTTTAAAATGTGCTACAGTTTTCTTTCTCTGTGCTGGGATTTCAATTTATCTTGAATAGGTGAGCACATTTTCAAATTTTCATCTTCTGACTTGCCAGGGAAGAGTAATCTATTCAAAATGAGAGAACCTTTTTTTCTCAAGTGTATGTTTAAACCTAAGTCAAGGGAGTGAAGCCAGGCAAGTTTTACATGGGCATTTTTTTTACAGTGACAATTTCACATTTTTGGAAGGAATTATTTTAGAATATTCTTATTTTCAAATGTAATTTGGTCTTTGTAAACATAACTGCTTAGCTTCAGTTTATGTCTTTATAGAACTTGAGCTTCAATTAGTTAGCAATATAACAGTTTTATTCTGACCTTACCATAGAAACCTATGACTAAAAATGACTTAAAAATATATCACAGAAACATTGCCTACTTATCCCACGCTTGCTTAACTATGCCTTGTAAATATTTTAAATAACTAAAAATATGTTTCCATTTTAATGAGTATTGTAGAAGTGATGACAGGTTAGATTTCAATACTATTTTAAAAACTTAGATTGTAAAACAAATCTTCATGTATGTGCTATTATTTACTGATTTAAACTACTACTGCTTTAAGGACTCCTCCTTCCCTTTTCTTTTTTCTAAATGAAACTTTGTTTTTCTGGAGAAGGCCATTAAGGTTGTCCTTTGCTCGCCTGTCAAAAGTAGTCCATGAAAAACACTGTTAATAGTTCAAAATAATGTATAGTCTAATGGGTAGAGTACCACAGCACCAGCTGGGAAACTCGGTGCTCAGGTATTTTCTGAGAAAGGAAGTTTCTTAATTTGTATATATCTGTGTTCCAGGAGAATTGGAGAACATCATCAAAGCAGTCTGTTTAGATCTTGTAGAGGCCTTTCTTATTTCTGCTTCTTTGTACAGTAAATACATAGGTATATGTTGGGTAGTTCTTATGTGTGTGGTTTTTTCCTATTACTGTTATTTAAGTTCCACTTTGATCTGCTTTTGTTGTTTGTTTTGTGTTTTCTTTTTCCTTCTTCTACAACCAGAACGTGGACGCTCTGTGGCACTCCTGAGTACCTTGCACCCGAAGTTATACAAAGTAAAGGCCATGGAAGAGCTGTGGATTGGTGGGCCCTAGGAATTCTTATATTTGAGATGTTATCAGGGTAAGTGATAATTACTATATCACAGCCATATGTAATACAGAATTGTTTACCAGTTCTCTTTACAGTATTTGAATTAGTGAATTTGGGCTAAATTTATTATTGCTATACCAGTTTAATTTCTGCTGTTGAAGAAAGGAACTGGGAAGCTTTAAAAACAACATATATCACTGTTGTTTTGAGAATGTTTTAGGGGTTTGAGTTTGTTGATTTTGTTTATTGGTTTGGGTTTTTGTGGTTTTTTTAAGACTTTTTTGACATCTCTTTTCCTTAAGTGTTTTGGAAATTCAGGTTTTGCTGAAGTTTAGTTTTATTCACGAGGCCCTTTACATTTAAAGGGTAAAGAAGAGGACTACTTCTGTAATTAATTTCCAGTATAGGGAAATCCTAGTTACAGTGGGATCTTTAGTCTCTAAAAATGCAGAGTGGCAAGTAGGAAGACTTTTATTAATACAGTTTGTATTACAACTGAGCACTGTTTTTCTTTAAACCAGAGGAAGAACAGCAAAAAGCTTCATAGGTCTGTTTGAAATCAGTTTGCTCAAATGCTACTTTCGCTGTTGTGGAATTTTTTTGATAAAGCAGTGTTCTCAGAAGTTAGTAATTCAAACTGAAGAAACAGTTTTTGGCATTAATATACTTAACTGTTCGTGACTTGTTAGTATAAATTAGATAAAAGTAATTGTCTCAATTTGCTCTGATTTAAAAAAATATTTTCTTCAGTAAAATAAATAACTGAGGTAGAATGTGGAATTATACTTGTCTGCTAAGCAAGGCATCTGCGTGGTTTTCCTTTTTTTTTTGTCTTGGCTATTTTGTTTGAGGGTACTTGAAAAAAGATTTGGATTTTTGAAAGCAATTGGCTTTGCCGTGGTGGGTGCTGTAGGACAAATGCAGATGAAAACAAGGCTTTCATAGCTTCTGAAAAAATAAACAGCTTCTTTCATCAGTTTGATTTCATAGTTCTCCCTTCGTCATAGTTCCATACCTTCTGCCTAGTACCTGGCTCAGTGCATTCTATGCCTTCTTGGTCCCCAGGTGCATTAGGTGTCCTCTGTGGCCTTTCCTTACAAATCTGCAGCCTTGTAGATTGATGAGAACAAAGTGTCCTTGTTTGGATTTATTCATCCTTTTCTCTGTGCAGTACTGTAATTTCAAAGTGACTTTGGTGACTCTTCCAGTGTTTGGACAAGCTTGTAAGTTTGCCTGAGCAAGTAGCTCCCCTGATGGATGGGTGGTCACTTCAGAGCTCTAATCTGCTGCATGTACTGCTGACGTTCACTCAATAGCAGCACAGCATTGCTACCCACTGCTTGGTTTCTGAGTGTCCTGAAGGCTTGCATATACATTGACTTTGATTCTCACTGCAATTTGTAGACAGAAAAGCAATAAAAATAGTTGCTGGCAGGCTTGGCTGACTGGTCTAATATGAAGTTGTTGTTTGTGTGGGCTGATCTGTACAGAGGCCAGTCTTCACCTTTTTTCCATTGCTTCCTGTAAGGTGAGCAGCCCAAGTTGGTTAAAAGAGTCCTTCTCAGAGAGAGTCTGAAATATTCTCAGAGAAAAGACATTCCCAGCAAGCTTATTGCCACTAATCTTAGTCCTAGACAGCGGGAAAATAATAGAGAAGTGTCCGGTCTGTAATATGAGCACAGGTGCTGCAGTCACCCAGCTGTGATTTAGCTTCCTGACATGGGTTTTAGTGGGACCACTCGCTGTTAGGTCTGTGTGGTCTCAGTGTAGATGGATATTGGACCTTTTTTATTTGCATCCCTTAGAGATGTTGGTAGGATTCTCTCCACTAGACCACTAATAGAAACATGGTTTGCAAGTTAACATCCTGAACACAGGTGGCAGTCAAGCAAGATATTTGGGGTCATTGAGACCTCAAGACTGCAGGGTACTGAAGTATGATTTCTGTATATTCTACTGAAATATGACTGGTATATATTGTTCATAAAAAAAGGGAGCAGCTGCTGTTGTTTCTGTGTAGGATCTTCTGCGTCATGATACTGTCTGGCTCAAGGGTTAAGACCTGGATTTCAGAGTGGGGAGATGAGAGGGAGGTGGCTTAATATTAACACTTCAGCTTTTAGAGGCTTTTAACCAATAGAGATAGCTTACACTGTCCTGAAAATCAAGTGCGGTTTTATATAGGCTGATTGACAGAGCAGCTGTCTGCTGTGTGATTTTCTAAGTTTTTTTTTACTATAGTACTTGTATATACATGCTTTTCATAATGATGGAATGCTGCTTTGGATAGGAACTCCATCCAACACTAAAAAATTAAATAAAGCAGCATTCAGTCATTTTCCAAAGCTGGAAAAAGGACTCCATACAAGCTTGTTTGTTCGGGATGTTTGAATTTTGAGGCTTGTTTTGGGCAGGAATTATGGTTTGAATGTGTTTCCTTTAGATGGGAAGGTTGTCACAATGAATGTATGTTTTTAGCATTTTATCAACTTTTTGCTGTTCTTGGCAATAGTGTTTTGAAGCAGTTTTCCTCACCAACTCAAGATGTGACTAGATATTTACTGTCAAGGCTTTTATTACAGAAACAGTCCTAGTTAACTTTAAGCTTTTGTAACTCTTCTTTGAGTTTTGATAGATAAAATATTTTGAAGGTGAACAAAACCTGACTTCAAGACTTTTAAGTTATTGTCTGCAAGTAAATTAATATAAGACATTTGGTAGTTATTTCCTGAAGTTAAGTCTCTCTGAAGCCCAAAAGCGATTGAAAAGAATTGGTAGGTGTGTGTAAGGAAATGGCCTCTCTAAAAACAAACAAACAAACCCACACCTTCCTGTTCTACAGTGTCTTATTTCCCTAACTTAATCTCTGGAGGCCGATTAAATTATTTTTCTGCACAAACTAGGTTTAAGGCAAGGTCCTGTTTAGGTTTAAGATAGGAAGGTACAGAAAGGGCAAGGAGCAGGGAGAAGCAAGGGTGAGAAGGAAACTTAACAGATGGATAACACCAAGTTCATTGAGTTAATGTAAACAAGCTAAACAAACTCAATACAAAAAAAAAACCTATTTTGAGTAATTGAGTTCTGTTACAATTTAATGCAAAGAAAAATATACTTGTTATTTAACATTAGGTTGTAATTCTACTGTTATCAGATACACAGCTAATATGAATTTTGTGTATTAATATGGGATTTGTGGTTTTTATTTTTGCTTTGGTTGTCATATGTGATGTGCTAGTCTGGCATTTTAGGTAAGTTAATGGTTCCTGTCTGCAGTTTCATATTCTCAGACCTGTGTGTTTTCCCTTGAGGTTTTACAACTTCTGTTCTTCAGACTGTCTTGGAAACTTATGTCCATGCTATTGTTATACTTCAGCTAGCAAAAGGAATGGTTTGCAGCTGTTCTCCCGCTTATGGGGATGATATTTTTTGTAGCTTCTTTTCAGTTGGTGAAAAGGCAGCTGTTTGTGTTTGTGTTGTGAAGAAAGTCTGAAACTCAGGGGGATTTTTGGTGATTTATTAGGTAGCTTCTTGAACAGTACTTGTGTTGTTTTGTCTAAAATCTGTGCTGTGTTGAAAATTGACATTTTCAAAAAGTGTCAAAATTAAGTTGCTTGGTTTGTCCATGAGAAAACTCTGCAATCTTTCAAAGCTGTTGTCATTTTACATAGAGTTCAAATGCACTTTAATTGCCATAAAATTACTATATAGCCAACAGTGATTTAAATTTTTCACAAGCACTCTAGATACACTAATTTTGAATTTTCAAAGTGGGAAAGCAAACAGCAATTAAAACAATGCAATGTAAGTATGAAAAAAATCATATATACTTCTATTCTTCTTGATTTCACACCTCAGTAATGTACAGTAATCTGCTTACTGCAGCTGATAGTTTTGTAATACAGAGTTTAAAATAGCTTAATTGCTTTATGCATTTATAGATTCTAATAGGTAATAAATAGAAGACTGTGTTTGTCAACTTGGCTATGGGGAATGTGAAGGACATTTATGTTGCTTGACTAAATAAGAAATTTTATATAATGGTCTTTCATGTGTGGGAAAAACCTGTGCACGTTAAATAGCAATCATATTTTCTTGTTCTTTAGTGTCAGAGCAGGAATTTTTAATAGCACAAGTGTTGTTCCTGAGATTCTTCCAATTTCCAGTTAGCTGGGAAGTAGTTTTTCATAAAGTACTCTGGCTTTCTGAACACCAGCAGAAGATGTCCTTTAGTCTTACCCTGACCGGATAGTTTAGTCATGCTTTTCAGTGCTTTGAAAGCCTGCAGACACCTTTACTTGATTATTCTGATGGAATTTGATTATTACCATGGCTGAAATTTACAGTATTTCAAAGAGAATGCTAATCCACTTGATCATCAGCTAAATAATGAAGAAATTAATACTTCTGGAAACATAATGGAAATAATGTATAGTACTTGTTGAAGAATAAGCTGGTCTGTTGTCAAAAAATTTTAAAAAAGAGCCTGAAGTGAAGAAATGTTTTCATCCTTGTTTTTGTGCTGTCAGTGGTTTCCAAAGCCACAAGCACTGTATTGTGTGTGTGTGCACACAGTTAAGTTCTCTGAGAAAATAATTATGAAATGTTAGGGAAATGTGAAAATATGTTATTTAAACTGTAATAGTGGTTGGATGCTATCAATATGATCAGCACTCAAAAGCTGCAGCTTTTTTAATTCTGTGGGGATTTTGAGGCAGAAGCATAGTAAGAGGGTTGTTTTGGTCATGTTACAGAGGGCAAAGCAGGACTGAAATTACTGAAGGAGTTACTACATTGCCTTAGAAGGTTTCCTGTGGTAAGAGCATGACTGACACTCAGAACGCAGTCGGTGCTTGGGCTCAGCTGCCTGAACTGGTGTACTGAGGCACCTCTTGCAGCAATCCGGCGTGTACTGTACTAGTAAAGGAAGCACAGCAGAAAACTTTTAATTCTTGCTGTAGCTGTACAAGTACAGCTACTTAACTGTTAGCTCATAACTTCATGAAGAACTTCATAGAAGACATAAATATAGAATTTTAATTACATGTTATTTACTGTTTGTCATGGGGAAGATTATGAAATGAAAACTTTATCTGTACCACACAGAAAGGCTACTGCACTTGGAGAGTTGTGAGCAGTGTAACTGTTTCAAATACCTTATCTAGCAAAACATATACTTGAATTCAAGATACACAACAAATAACTGACCTGGATAATGTATTCATGTGAAGGTCCTTCAACACTTTAGACAGAAACTGGTAAATAAGGGTGTGCCGGCAGTTACAGGACATGATCAGAAATGGTAATGCTCTTTTGGAGAGTATATCCCTGGGTTTTAGAGATAAAAGCAAAGTATTTTTTAACACTGAATTTTTTTTTTTTCATAAATTACTTTTACTGCAATTATATTGCAATTTTATGTTTTTCTCTTCTTTTTTAATGTTTAAATTTTAATTCTGCATTCAATGTGTTGCTGACAAAAATGTTTTCTGTTCAATGGCAGCCTTAAATTATTCTTCAAGATAGTTTTTGATTGTACTGTCCTACCAAAAAGAACAATAAAATCAGTTGTTTCTGAGGGGAATTGCTATAGCATAATACTGATTATAAGATTTTTAGAACTTCTTTTTCTAACATCTGAAAATCTTCTGTATTAAAATAGGTTTCCTCCATTTTTTGATGACAATCCATTTGGTATTTATCAGAAGATTCTTGCTGGCAAAATAGATTTCCCGAGGCATTTGGATTTATATGTAAAGTAAGTCTATGACTTCCAACACTGTCGTTTCTATTCTAAATACCTCCTGATCACTGTTTCTAAAAAACCCTTTTAGAAGTCCTAATTTCAGGTTCTGATATTCTGAAATATCATGTTGGAAAATATTTTATATTGCATTTACACTTTCAGTCCAAATAAACTTATATATTTGGTATACTTCAAGGTGCTGATACAGTTGTAAGATAATATCTGTCTCTCTTTTCTGTGTATTGAGTTATTAAATGCATTTACACCTTGTGCAAACACCATTGGCATGTACTATAAGAAGGTCAAGAGGAGAAATATGAGGAGATAACCTGAGTAAAAATTAGGAGAGCAGGAATAGAACACTAAACTGTTTGTCTGTAGATACATACCACTTAAATCACTCTTGAGCAAACTTCAGAAATTCTAGTGTAAAATCAACTTAAATTTATCATAGCAGGGGCTCAGTTCAATATGGAGTATTACATATACATGTAATGTGGGTTTAATTCTCAGTATTTATTGCGGATGAAATACGTTTTTTTCTGTAATTAAAAATTCCATAACTGCAAAAATTTTTAGTAAACATTGAAACTGAGGAAATGCAATTATAAACGTGAAGTTTTTCCTACTTGAGAATTGAATGAATGAGTGAGGGAGTGAAGACAGGAAGTTATTCCTATGTTAATCACTTGTAATGTTTTGATGGTGACTTCAGAGAAGCACTTGCTTATTGTCACTACTGGGTAAACAGATACAAGCAAAATTAATTATTTGAGATTTTTTTTTTTTTTTTTAAGCCTCCACTGAATAATCAAATGCACTGAATGAAGCTTGACTGTTTCCCCTTAGGCTGATTAGTGTTTCATATTTTGTGTCTTTGTAGCAGTTTTCTCTTAGTAGCTCTAACACAGTTTCCAGTTTAGTGTAGTCTCATTATCTGGTCTTCCTAATCCAATTGGTCTTGGAAAGAAAACTGATTATCTCTTGTAGTATTCTGTGCACTGAACTATAATATTGTGATCAGAAGGTGGAACACCACAAATTAGGTTATCATCACTGACAATGTGTCCAATATAGTGAAAGCAGTTACAGAAACTAATAAGGTCACCCTTGAGCCTCCTTTTGTCCAGGCTAAACAATCCCAGCTCCCTCAGCCACTCCTTGTAGAATTTACTCACCAGATCCTTCACCAGCTCCATTGACCTTCTGTGGACACACTCCAGCATCTCAGTGTCTTTCCTGAAGTGAGTGGCCCAGAACTGGGAACACTAGGTGTGGTCTCCCCACAAGTAGAGGGGGACAATCACTGTTCTGTCCTGCTGGCTGTGCTACTTCTGTGACTTCACTTGCTTTATGCAGTAACTGTTAAGCACAATGTCTTGGATATCTGCCCCTCTTCCTTCTTTTAAACCACAAGATGCAGAACTGGGTAGTCCTTGAACATCTTTGCATCATTAGCTTAAAACAAGCACCAAGATTATTTTGTCCAATGAAGGTAGTCTGCTTCTTACCTTCTTACCCATCTGTTTTCTCTTTCTTCTTCCAATAAGTCAGTATTTCAGCCAGAAAGGAGACTGTCTTGGGTCCTGTCACATCCAAACTTTCTGAAGCATTAGTGCTATACAATGTTTTAACTCTCTGTTCTGAGGCAGTAAAACTCTTTCCCTTTCTGAATTCTTGAGAGTGCTTCTCTCCCTAGGGGTATGTACTACCTGAGCTTATGGACCTTGGAACTTTTCACTCACTGACCCCCATCACCTCCTCTACTCAGTACTTTCTGAATTTATACAACTTCTGCTTTCCCTCCTGCTGCATGAATGTCACTCTTACTGCCTTTTTAAACTTTTCTTTGCAATGCCACTTTTGGAGACTTCCAAACAAAATGTCACTGTTAGGCATTTTACTGATTATTGGTCTGCTGAGACCTTAACGTAGAATTTGATTTCTAAAAACATATACCAGCATATCTAGTGAATTAATTGTAACATCATTTTTAAATGATTTTTTAGGACCAATGTAATAAAGAACTACTGAACTATCATTTGTTTCAATTCAATGGATATTTCACTGGTCCAGTGCAGCAAGTATCTTTAGTAACAGCACTGTATCAGCAAGTAAGCTCATCCCTTACTTGTTTTATGATGAATCTCTGAAGCAAGCCAAGAATGATCTATAAAATGTTTTCTGGTTTTATAGGAATAGGAAAGTGTCTTTAACCATAAACTGTGAATCTCTTTTTGGGTTTCTGGATTTCTTTTCAGTCCTGCTTCTAAGTGTGCTTATAGTCATCCTTATAGCCTCTTCCATTATGAATGTTCTTCTTTGTGAAGTAGAAAGGGATATTTCTGGAAAGGTGACTGTTAAAGGGGTAGGTCACATGATTTAATCTAATTGAAATGTGGATTGTCTGGAATAATTATGAGAGTTTTAAAAATTACGTTCTACATGGACTTTTTTATTCATGTATCTGGTAATTTTTTTCCATTTGAATTTTAGAATTGTATTCCTGCCAAAAGCAATAGCTTTTTAAACAGTCTAGTACATTTATTTCATATGTTCTTTCTGCACACACTTTTTTGATTTGAAGGATAGGCAACACTGCTATTTTTGGGAGGCATAGTAGGTATTACAGATAGGGATGGAGAGAGGCAGGTGTGTCATTGCTATGTTTGTGTTTTTTCTGTAAATAAAACAGTTGACCTTTTTTAACCTTTGATATTGTTAGATCATAGCTAGTTCAAATTTTTTTCTCTTTAATCTCCATCATTTCATACTGTATGTTATCTCTCAGGAATACTTGAGATTATAGAAATAAGGATGGTTAAACTTTTGTTCTTTCTTGACATTGCTACTTCATGCAATTAGTCCAGAATGCCAGTTTCCTAAAATCAAATATCAAAGTAATCTTTGAGATAAAATGTAACTGCTTATAGAACTATGAAGCCATATTTTTCTTTCAACTCATAAGTAATCAAGCTAATTCCATAAATTATGATACTTTTGGTTTATGTCGTCATTGTTTGGGGCTTAATGTTTGAAGTACTTTACTATTAAAATGGAAGAGTTTTATGTCTCTAAACTTTTAATCTTTTAAAATGTTGATTTAGCTTTATTATATCAGTGAGGCTTTTTGTTTCCAATTAAATTATAGATGTTACTAGTTTTAAGCAGATTACTAACTCTTTCATGGTTTCCCTGGATATTTAGCGTAAAGATGAGGGTGCAGCTTTATCTGCTTTTTTAATATATATTAGCATTGAGTTCTGACAAACAAATTGGAGATCCATTTTGAGACTTGGAATGCCCAGCAAAATGCAAAAATACAAAGAACAAAATAGTGCCAAATACTACTGGAGAGAAGAGACAGAGTTGTTTGTTTTTTTTCCTTTGTTTCTTGGAAGAGTCTAAAAGGAATCTACAAGAATTCTGTTAGATTATTTTTTATTGCTTACTCTTAAATGTCCTGATATATGAGGAAAGGAATGGTCAAAGGGAAGCATGCCTATGTTCTGCAACACTTGACAGTCAAATATAAATTACTTCTGTTTAACAGAGAACATGTTTTCTCTACTTCAGAGACCTTATTAAGAAGCTGCTTGTGGTTGACAGAACAAGACGACTAGGAAATATGAAGGTCAGTGTGAAATCTTTAGTGTAACACAGCACAAGGTTGAAGGTATTCTGTAGGAAAGATACAGAGCAGCTCTTCATAGAATTTTCATCATTATAAGCATGAAAATAGATACATTTCCCCACACATTACTTAGGTTATGCAAAGTTTTACTTGTGTACTTCTGTGTTTTTGAAAATCATTCCCCTATTTGGATTAATGCTACTCTTGAGGATGGTTTTCCTCTCCCTCACCACCACTCTGTTCATTAATGTGAAAACCTTGATTAGACCAGAAACATGGTATTAAGTCTGGTAGTGCAGGGTGCCAGCTCATTTGGTTCTTTTTTTGTGGGAGTGTTAATCTCAGAAGGATCTCTAATCAAACTTGAAGTTTAAAAATTATTTTAAAAGTATAAGGATTGTTGTAGTACTGTGATACCTGGTCATTGTCTTGGTGGGGCTGATTAAACACAGTCAAATACTCTTCCACCAGGAAGAATTATTTACCCTAATCCAAACAGATTTATGAAGACAATGATACTGAAATTAGCTTGTATAATCTTTCTCTTTAAAGACACCTAAATTTTTTGTTTCTCTGGGCAAGGGATATTAGAGGTTTGCTTTTTGGCCCAAAGCACACTGATTGGTAACCACAGGTGAAGATGGTAATAGGTTTCTTAAAGGTTTCTTAAAGTAAAGAAGTTTCTTAACATATTAATATAAATATAAATGTTTTAACCAGCTGTCCAGTGTTTTCTTTTGGAGCCTTTTTATAGCACAAAGTTAGACTGGTAAGAAAAAACAGGAAATAATGTTTTTCTTATCCTTCAGAATCCTTTGTAGTCTTTTTCAGGAGGATTTCTTAAGCTGAAAATTTTTAAACTTAATTACCAGTGAAAACTTTTATATCTTTGGACAGTTTTGAAGGAAAACAAGACCAAAAGCAAATCTTGACTTGTTCAAACATAGGCTTTAGTAGATGGGTTTGGCTAGGTTTTGTGTTGTTTTGGAGGATGTTTTTAGTCTGTGCTTGCTTAGGTTTGTTTTGGGACTTTCCCTATAATTGACTAAAATTCAAAAAATAGTTCTAATTAAGAGCAGATTTTGGGGTGGGAGCACTCGGTCAGTCTTGTGTCTGATCCTTTTCCATTGTAATAATTGTTCTAATAAGATTTAAATCCCACAAAACATTTTCTGGTGAAACATTTCAGTCAAATCTGCTTTTGAAGGAACTATGTGATACTCTTCTCCTTGATGCCTTATTGGATATGATCATGGATAGGTCCACTCCACATAAATCTGAAAAAACCTAAATGTGTGATACTGGTTGGTTTTGTGGAGCTGTATGTGTTACAGTCTTGAGTTCTGTACTTTGATCAGGCCTGAGACAGACAACCAGCTGGTTTTCCCCAGTACTTAATGCCTGGAGAACAAGTCTGTGCTTGAAACAAGCTTAATCATGAACAGGCAGCTCAAAGACAATGATCATTACAAGGCAAATACACCTTTAGCTGTGTATCTAAAATCAAAACAAATGTTTTAATATATTTACTTTTGTAACAGTACTGAGAACCTTTTGCTGTCAGCATTAAATGTCTGTAATATTTTTAAAAAACTGTGTGTTTCCCAGACATTATTTAAAACGCTGTCAACCCTCAGTTGTGTTTTTTTATAGTGCAACAAATAGAAAGTATATCTGAATAAAAGGCATTCTCTAAAATGTTGTTGAAAACAAAAGTAAATAGGACTATAATGGTTTGGGGGTACTTTAAAGCCTATTCTTGATCTCCATTGTGTCAGAAGAATGCTAAAAAAAGCCCCAAGAAACCCCAAATCAAAATTACTTGGGTTTTATTGCTGGAACTCAGGACCTACTAGGGAATTAACACTATGAATTTATCCTTTAGAATCTTTTAAAGATTATCACCTGAGAAAAAGAAAACAGGATAGACCTGATATCACAGTACTTGTAAGGAAATACATGGTTTGGCATATGTGTACCTTAAAAAATAGTTACTTTGATTTCTTTCCTTAAAGAATGGAGCAGATGATGTGAAGAGACATCGATGGTTCAGGTCTATAGACTGGGATGCTGTACCTCAAAGGAGACTAAAGGTACATTCTACAAATACTGTATAGGACATCACAAGGAGAAATCATTGTTCATTTAAGCTGATCTGTTGAAGGTTTGTTGGATGTTGCATCTGTGTGTTTGTGTGTGTATAACCACATGTCTATATGCGCACTTGGTAATTAAATGCATATTTGCCTTTTGCAATATGGAGTAATTGTATGAATGTTTGCATTTTTGTCTATATACGAACTGTCTAAAAAGAAATCTCTGCTTTAGTTTGCTGGAGATGATTAGTTAGTTTTCAGGTTTAGGGTTTTATAAGTGATTACTTGTGTTTTTTTTATTCGGGGACATGAAGGGGATTGCTAATTTGTTGGTTTAATTTTTTTTTTTTAATTTATTTTTTTCCTTTTCCTTATGTATATGGAAGTATTTTACTCTGGGCTTTAAATTTTTGTGCTAAGTTCAATTCAGGTAAATGTTTTAATAAAATGTAAAGCACATGAGAGTAGGAGGAATAGGGAAGGTGAAGGAGAAGGATTTATTAATGTCATTCCAAGATACTTTTTTTATAGCACTGAATTCTAGTATTGTATGATGGCAGATGTTTGCAAAAGCTATCAACACTACAAAATGCTTTTAAGTCCTTTAGTAGTAAAACTGCTTTCTTTCCTTCCTCAGAGTTCTAACTTGTACAGTTCCTTACAGCAGTGGTTTTCTGTAGCTAAGGTTGGGTTATCACATGCAGTCAACCAAGTACCAATTAAACATTTGTTTTTCTTTTCTTTGCATTATTTTCTTGTGCTTAAATTCCAGGTAGATACCTTGAGTTCTTGCAAAATAAAAAGAGACAATATTAAAATGTTCTTGATGTATTCTTGTAAACAGTATCTAATGCAAAGCTGTAGATGACTTCTCTCTTTAAGAAAAATAAGTTTACGGTGTTTTAAATGTGTGGGTTTGTTTTAAGTCCTTACTTGCAACCATTTGATATTTTATGTAAATGCATTGTAATGAAGTCACATTTTTCTAGGTATTCATTTACTGTATTTTCTGTTTAATGAAACCTGCAAAGAACACAAACTGGATGATAATCTGTTTAATAATATATTAACTCTGAAGTTTATGACAACCAAAGCAATAAAAAACATAGTATTAAAAATGATTATTAGATGTACAATCAAATGTTTCAGGTCCAGACATTATTTGTGTGGCATTTTTATTTAAAAAAATAATCAAAAAAGAGTCACTGTAGCATTTAGATTATTATGAATACAAAACTGGTTTCTTAATCTTTGTTATGGTTACATTAAGCTCTTAGAAGATGAGACGGTGCTTAATTAAACTTGACTAGGGATATTAAGTGGATCAGAATTTTACTTGTTTATTTGTAGAGGCAGCTATATTCTTCAGAATTTGTTTTCACTATTTCCTACTATTTTCAAGAGATTGAAAATATGAAATAATGCACACAATGCTCCATTTCCCCTGTAAAAAGTGTGAATTTGTCCATTATATAAATTATGTATATATTAATAGTCCTAATAAGGTATTAAATATCAATATCATATAAACAATAGCAATAGCTGAAAGGGAGGAAATAATTTCATTAATCATCCTTTCTCTCTTTGGATTTTCTTTCTGTATGTCACTTCAGAAAACTGCTTTTTCTGCCAAAATGCTTACAGAGAGGAGGGGTACTAGGCACTACCCACAGTGGAACAAACATTTCTCAGGGGCAGAGCAGATTCTGCACATTTCCCTCAGCATCTGGGAAGTATTACTGTGACTGCTAGACACAAAATTAGGACTCTGCTTTCGGATGAAGGTTAGAGACATACTAGGTTAGAAGTTAGGGACCCATCTTTCCCATTGAGAACCTAGTGATGATGACATCATTTTGAAAAGCCCAAAAGCTCAGATAAGATCTCATGAACTAGTGGAAGCCAGGCTTCTATCTTTTCGAGGATATGCAGGCTAGCATTTTGCTATACTTTATAGTTCTGTCTGTGGTGTGACTTTGAGCCAGTTCATCCTTATGTTCATCCATAAGGTTTTCTCATTCTGAAGTGTTCTGTTGGATTCAGCATAATAGTTAAGCTCTCAGTTGCTGAGGATAGAGAGATGAATATCCCTTGAGAAAGGAAACAGAGTTTGCCCTTCATTAACACCTGCAATTAATGAAATGTCCCTGAAAGGATCTTTTATCTCATAGTATGTGGCCAGAAACACAGAGCATTCTCAATGTTAGATTTCAGACAGGTTAAAACTGCAGGTACTCTGAAGATGATTTGCAATACTAGAAATTGAAAGGATCCTCTGTGAAAACAAACAGGAAACTGATATTGCTCGTCACCTTCAAGTTTCATAAAAACAATCTATTTGAATTAAGATACTCTTACAGCCTCATGTGAGTTATGATGAAGCAGTTTCTTTACCTGCTTCAATGTATTGCTAGGTTAGGAAAAAACACAGTTGGTAGACAGAAGTTAGTAATTTCAACTTCTTTAAAAGCAGTCTTTTTGAAAGCAGTGAAGAGGAGGCTTTTTTCCTTCAATATGGTAGCAGTTTCCCATGCTACTATGAAGATTCTTAGTTGAAAAGCTAGTACTCAATAAAATAGGTATCTATATTAAGTGTATTAATTATCTAAGTGTCTTTTAACCACATTATTTAAGTGTAAAATTGACAAAAAGCGGGAATGTATATGTGTTGCTGCAAGCTTCTCTCTTATACCATTCACTATTAGGGAAAAGGTGAACTGTAAATCTGTACTCCATTTGTTTAATATATCTTTTACAGAATAGTATGATGGAGAGGATCTCATTGAGGAAACCGCTAACATTTTTGTTGTGCTTCTTCTGACTAGCCTCCCATAGTGCCCAAAGTATCCAATGATGGGGATACTTCCAATTTTGAAGCTTACCCTGAAGATGACTGGAACAAGACACCTCCGGTACCTCCTAAAGATCTAGAAATTTTCAAGAACTTCTGAGCGTAACAACTACACTGGACAAGGTATGTCCAAATGCCAAGAGTGCCCTTGAAAGAAACCATATATAGAAATTACATTTTCTGATTCATAATGGGTTGAAATGACAAAAATAACTTGCCTCACAGGATTTGGTTTTTTACATTCATGAAGGTTTATTTACATACGAATATTCAAGTCCTTCTGTCCTTAAATTTCTAAAACTAATGTGTAAAAAGAAAGATTGATTTGACAGATAAGGAAATGTGATAATTCTTAACTGTAAGGTTTTACTACTAAGAATGCAGATTCTAGAGGAATAAGACTGTGAGGTTAATTCTGTACCCTGGATATTCTCTCTTACAAATGTGATAGGTTGATACTTGTTACTGAGTTCAAATAGTTCACCTTGAGTTTTGTGTTCTCTTTTTTTTTGTCTTAGAAACTGGAAGGAAATTGAAGTGCTAAGAGCAAGTCTGAAGAACAATGGAGTTCAGAGAGAAAGGAAGATTTTCTTTGTGGCTAAGAATGATACTGCATTCAGATACATGTATTAGTAAATGTCAAAAAAGATGGAGGCAGGCAGGAATAATTTTTGGCTATAAACATTTTACTTTAGTTTATTATATTGTAATAATGATAGTCTGCTCTGAAGTAGACTAACTAAAATGATATTTTTAGGATTATTTTTTTTAACTTACGGTTGAATTAAGTTTCCTGCTATTCCCAGATCCTTTTTGCATCGTTAACTCATAGACTTAATTTTATAAGTTTATACTAAAGTTGTGTAATTAAAAGCACAAATTAGTATATATGTATATAATGGATACAGTACAACTAAAGCACAGAAATTGTGCAAAGATGTAAATTTTTGTACTTTGCAGAGTCTATGATTTTTATTTTTCAAATAATGTTTTGCAGAAGTTCTTTAGGAATAAAAGTCTTAAAAAAGGATAAATGAGTTTTTCATCATCTTATATACATTTTATAATTGTTTGTAAAAAACAAAAATAATTATGTTTTAAATAAGATTTGTACCTAAAATTTCCAATGCCTCACACTTACAACCATAGTACTTGAAAGCAGAAAGACCAGGGCATGTTTTATTTTTGTTAAAGATGTATCTTAATGGCTAATTTATGAAGTTCTGTTACAATTATGTCTGTTCGAGAACCAGAATTTTGAGTGATTATACAGTCTGAAATGAGATTCCTTACATGAAAACTCACTAAACATGCAAGTCAGACCATCCTGATAAAAGGGCTTTAACTGGCTCTGACAGGAATTGTTCCCTCACAAGTCTTCTCCAAATGTAAATAATGAGCCATAACAGACCTTTTTCATTAGTGAAATAGTTCTTGTTGAATGCTGTATACTTTAGAATATCAGAGGGAAGACTGAATATATAGTACACCCTTATTTTTCTGTTCCTCCTTTTTTTGAAAATGTCCTAGTCCCTGCTGCCAGCAATTTCATATGCACAGAGTTTTAACTTTGGATGCACAGAGACTCTTTTTTCATCCTATGTTAACATCTTTCTAGCAGCTGGAGCACACTGTTTGGGAAGTGTTTGCAATATTGTTTCATTTTAAGTAGCACTAAATATCAGTATGTGCATATGTATGTATCTCAAATATGAATGCACAGAAACATGAAGGTGGATTGAATACTAGGCAAAATTTTTTTTTTTTAGGTTTTTTTTCATGTTACATATTGTGATACTTGTGTTAATATAAGGGAGTTGAAGTGCTTCAATTAAAAAAAAATACATTTTTTAGGATGTTGTCAGTTTAGATAACTTCTAGTGAAATTACCATATTTAGACCATTTTTTTTTTCTCAGAACACATCAGCTCTCTGGAGTTCTACTACTGTGATTATGGCTCTGCATAATACTGTTTAATTAGATCATACAGACAGTTTTCCCCAAAAACTACACTCCACATTTTTGATGTGAAAGCAATGAGAAATGTAGGCCAAAAATTTGCTTTTCTAAACTAAATCCTGAATGGCATTCTAGTAATTGTTACTGAAATTGTCATATTTATAATGTTATGGCAGATCTGCTACTGGAGTCTCTTTGTGGAAAAGTGATCTCAATTTTTTTTTTTTTGTTTAAACAGTACAGAAATTTTTTTGAGAACTGTAACTCCTAGGATATTAGATTACATCTTCATAAAGCAAGTCCTTACTAAAAGAGACTGTATAACTCTTGTCAAAAATGCACATTGTGTAGCAAAATCAGGATATTTCAAAATGATAATTCTGTAATATCACAAAGCTGTCTTGATGTTATGGAAGTTGATGGCCCCAGCTGCCACTCAATAATTATTGTGTAGAAATGTATAATGAAATACAGGACAATCCATAGGAAATTACAGTTTTAACCTAGTGTAAGTACCTTATTCTCTTGGAAAGATTAATCTGGCCCACTATATTTGTATATGTGGAATTAGTTATTCTGAATCAACTGGAAAAACTGAAGCACATAAAACACATCTTGTGTAAGGGGGAGGAAATGGGGAGTTTTCTTAATGCACAAATGGATGGTATTTTATGGACTGAATACTACGTACATCAATTTCTTATTTGAAAATTTACATACTGCAAGTGTGCTAAATGTAGGATTTTTCTTCAAATTTCAAAGCTGTTCTAAGTCTTCAGATCTGAGGAAATGAAGTTGAAATTGAGTAATTTGCCACAGTGGCAGTTAGAAGTTTTGAACCCTTGAACAACAGGAGATACAAGTTTTCTTTTCATTACCCTTATCCGTTGCTGGCAGTGGATGCACTGACATTCAATATGATGGAGACTTAAGGAAGTGAATACATTTTATTAATAATGATAATCCATTGACTTTACATTGTTTCCAAGCCATGTGTATACACACCTAACTACTGACCTTGTCAGCATGCTTTATAGTACAAAACTGCTTTCATTTTTTTAAAATTAAAATACTGAAGTAAAAGGTAAAACCAAAACATTTTTGAAGTATTATTTCAAGCTATCAGTTATTTTTTTCTGTAGACCTGGACTTGATGAGGTGTTATTACCTGGCTATTTTATTTATTTGCACAAGTGAGTCTGCTTTAAGTCTTCACTGGGAACTTCATGGCCCACTAATGTAGTTCTGTCTGAGTGTTCATGCAGGTAAACACTGCACTAGGAATTCTGGATTTATGGCTTTCTTTTAAGAAGACTAGAAGATTTTTTTAGTTACTATTCAAGTAGGGTGTTCTCTGAAGTTCGTTTTGATTGTTTCTGCTAAAGTCTACTTGTGCATAAAGACTTGTCTTGAAAGGGAGCCTTTGATATTCTACATCCGTAAACAAGAATGTTTAACATTAAAAAAAAACTTTTATTTTTGAGTTTTATATCTATATTTTTAATTGCCCAATCTGAGGTTTTAAGTGATAAACATGAATTGTAAACTCAATTGCCTTGTAACCAAATGATATAAATGCTTCATGATTTCAATGAAGAATATGCTGTAGATTTTCCTGTAAATGAGCTTGATCAATGAATATGTGTGCTACTGAGCTTTAACTAATGTGATCTTCCACTGTAGAAAGTCATTGTTATGGATCAAATATAGGTACTAAACTATGTTTAAATGGATAAACAGGGATTTTACAGTTTTGAAAGCAATGAAGATACGGCTGTTCCGCAGCCCATCTGCTTGCCATTCAGAAGAGTTGTGATGCAGTGCTTCCTATGCTATAGAACTCTTTTTCAGCTTTCAATGACTGTAGCATGATTCCTTTTTGTACTGTACTATGTACAGACTTCCCATGTTTTGCACTTTTCTATGGCAAACCTTGACTGCTTTATAAGTACTCTGTCATGTAGTAAATAGTGATAGTAGTAGCAGGCATTTGTGTGCTGCATAATCATTTTGGACTGCCTGACTTGTGAGGTTCACTTGGGCTAATGTTGTGTGTTGCTGGTTGCTTGTTGTAGCTCACATGTAAGTACTGTTCAGCCCTCACTGTAAGTACAAAGTCAGCCCTCATTGCACAATGAAAAATCACTGTGATCTGTACATAAACCCTAGTAAAACTTTATTGCTGTTTAATTTAATGTAATATCTGTCAAATCTGGATTCATTTAATAAAACTTTATATCTTTTCAAATGTTTAAACTTAGTTTGCTTCCATTTATGCTGGAAGGATGTTGGGGTTCTTCATCCAAGAAAATGGTAAAGGGGAGACAAGAGGAGCAGAAAAACAACTGTTCCTTCTTTTCACATTTTAAGCCTTTTCAGAAAAGACACAAGTGTTGGAACAGATTTTAGATGGTATTGAAGAAGCACCAAAAAGTACATTTTCAAAACCATTTCAGGTACTGTACCAGGTAGTAACACCAAAAGTGTTAATTTGAACTTCTCATTAAACTTTGATTATATGACTCTAATTGCTTTGGCATTTTCACAACTTAATGGCCTGAACACTGTCCAGAACACTCAGTTCAATCAGTATCTTCAAGCATTGAAGAAAATTCTTAAAATGGCTACCTGACTTACCCTTTTTCCTCTTCCATCAAAACTTGAAAAGTTTGTTTCTAACAAAATTTGTTTAGCTCTTTAAATTCCTTCTCTTGGGTCAAATGTATTTTATTTCTTTTCTCCTAGATATCAGAATCTAGGGATAATTACATAGTCATAGAACCTACTTGATACAGTTTGGACTGGTTAAGGGTTTGCTTGTTAAAGATGGAATTGGTTTTTTTTGTGCCTGGCTTAATTCTAATTTCTGTGCATTGATGTTTTTCTCTTGTAAACCACTATGTCATGTGCTTCAAGGTTGAAGACTGCTAATGGAAAGTGAAGGAACACTGCAATGAGCCCTGGCAAGCTTTTAGTCATGTCTTTGACATGGATCGAAATAACTTCTCAGTTACATTTTTGAATTTTCAGGCATTTTTTGAATGGCAACACAAAAGATTTTTTTTTGGTGGGTTGTTCATACCCCAGCCATGTGTGGGAGTTTTTGTTCATTTGTTGTGAGTGCTACATCTTTTATGAATGCACATGTAACTCTTTTCCAATAAAAGCCATTTAAAATACACTTTTTCACTTATTCAGGGCAGGTAAGTTTTGTTCACTACCCCCAGATCTCTCACTTCTTACACTTCATTAGGCCTTTTTAGGACAAAACACTCTTAAAACTGCATTTGACAATAGCCCACTGTTCTGTGGCCCTCTGTTAACTAGTAAAGGTATGATACTCTAAGGAATGGTAGAAAGCAGCTGGCATTGTTACATCTGGATCCTGCCCAGTACTTTGTGAATTCTTATATAATTCACAAATCAAGCCCTTCCACATGCAAACTCCTGCTAGTTGCTTCGATATCAGCTGCAGAATTCAGGCATCTTTTCACAGGGAAAGTAAAAGGCTCTTCTGCTGCTCTCAGTAGAAGACAACTCCATTCTGTCTTTCATGCCCTCTTTCCATCTACCCTTCAAAAAATCATCATATATGAATGTATGTCAACCTTTGTATTTATCTTTGAAACCAGAAATACTGTAAAATTTTAGCAAGCTGATTTGTACAATTTTCTGTGTATCCAAATACTTTTCCAGTTTTGTGCAATCGTATTTCAAACTATTATTCTGTGAAAAGTGCAGCAATCTTTGGGGCTATTATACCAACTTCAACTTAGGTAGGTTTATCTGATTCACTGCGCTTGTTTCAATGCCAATAATTTTTTGGAGCAGTTGAGAGTCTAACATCTCTTACTGCATCTGTAGTTCTGGCCAGTGAGGCACATCCCAAAACTGATATGCAGCCTTAGACATCAAAAATGCAGGCCTGTCCTTTAGTATGTGGAACTCAAGCAGGTGGTGTCTCTACTGGTTTTTATATAATAGATACATAGATGGCTTGAAAAGCATCGTTGGTGCCAGATTAAACAACTAACCAACTTCAGATTGTTTGTTTGTTGGAGGTTTTTTTGTTTGTTCAATTCTTCTCTCCAGGATATTGTCCATATTCTGGACTATTGTAATAAAGCAGGCAAATTAATGGGAGAAAAATATTTTGGGGGAAAAAAAGAAAAAAGCTTGCTTTGGACTTTAATCCACTACATATTGCAAATGCAATCGATCACTAAGTGTTGTAGTTCTATTACTAAATGTTATAGAAAAAATGGTGCCTGCTGAAGTTTATGCTGGCTTTTAAGGTAAAATTCCCCTTTTTCTCAATATTGTATCCAAAAATGTAGTTTTGGGAGTCAAGAGTTCATTTCAATTTAAGTCAATAATCAGTCTAGTTTAGAGAATCCTTGATACTAAAATCCTTGGTTGGAGGACAGTGCTTTAAAATCATAATGCTCCTAATTTTCTCCCCAAGTGTGCAGAGGAGGTAGTTGTGCTTTCAGTGCAATACTACAGCAGTTCACATGAAGCA